AGCTGATGAAGGAAGATGCACAGTAGTCCTCAACACTTCTGATTACCAGGAAAAAATAACTACACTACTGAGTGACAGCAACACCTACGAGACTCTGAAGAGGGACCCAACCAGCACCTATAAAAAGAAAGTCACAGATTACCTGCAAAATCTTGAAAAGGAGAAAACAATCAATCTACTGTTGTATTTTAGATTGTACCCAGGGGAAGCCACTCCCTGTCTTTATGGACTTCCAAAAATCCACAAAGAAGGAACACCACTCAGACCCATCGTCAGCAGCATGAACTCAGTGACATACAATGTTGCTAAACATCTGGCTGGTATTTTAGCTCCTCTTGTTGGAAATACACCTCATCACATAAAGAACTCCATTGATTTTGCTAACAAAGTTCAACATTTGAACCTAACCCCAGGAAAAACCCTTGTATTATATGATGTGACTTCTCTTTTCACTTGCATACCCATCTCTGAAGCAATATAAACCGTCAGAAAACAACTTCTACAAGACAAGGACGTAATCAATAGGACCAACTTCACCCCAGACCAGATCTGCACCCTGTTGGATCTCTGCCTCTCTACCACTTATTTCAAGTTCAATGATAGTTTTTACAGACAGAAGCACGACTTTGCCATTGGCTCTCCAGTGTCACCCATTGTTGCCAATCTCTACATGGAGGAAGTGGAACAGAGGGCCCTAAACTCCTATGAGGGAACAACACCAAGCCATTGGTTCCGATATGTGGATGACTCCTGGGTCAAAATCCAAGCTAAGGAAATAGAAGTGTTCACCAGACACATTAACTCGGTCGATAACAACATCAAGTTCACCAGAGAGGCTGAAAACGACAACAAGCTGCCTTTTTTGGACTGTTTGGTTCAGATGGAAAGAGAGGACAGCCTCAACATTGAAGTGTACAGAAAACCAACCCATACAGACCAGTATCTTCTGTTTGACTCCCACCATCCACTGGAACACAAACTCTCTGTCATCAGAACTCTACAGCAACGGGCCGAACGCGTCCCCACAAAGACAGAAGGGAAGGAAAAGGAACAGAAGCACATTCAAGAAGCTCTCTAAACATGTGGATATCCTAACTGGGCTTTTGTCAAGTCAGCGAGGAAATCTACAAAACACACTAATAAACAGAAAAAGGAGAACAATAGACAAAAAAACATTGTCATCCCTTATTTTTGCTGGAGTATCAGAGAAATTCAGAAGGATTTTCAACAAACACAACATCCCAGTACATTTCAAACCCAGCAGGACTCTCAGACAGAGGCTGGTCCACCCTAAGGACAAAACACCCATACACAAACAGAGTGGTGTAGTGTATGTGATCCAATGCAGCGAGGATTGTCTAGACCTCTACACTGGAGAAACTAAACAGCCTCTTCACAGACGCATGGCTCAACATAGGAGATCCAGCTCTTCAGGACAAGATTCAGCTGTTCACCTTCACCTCACAGGGAAAGGACACTCTTTTGAAGACCAAAATGTGCACATTTTGGACCGAGAACATAGATGGTTTGAGAGGGAGGTGAAGGAAGCAATTTATGTAAAAAGAGAAAAGCCGTCTCTTAACAGAGGAGGAGGCCTCAGATTTCCACTTTCAAAAACCTATAATGCAACTTTAAGACTGATTCCCAACCAGTTTTCACACCTGATGGGAACAGAGGTGTCTCATCTGTGAAATAGAGTAGCAAATAATTTAAGAAGCCCCCTACTGTTAAGGTGTGGAGGTGTGACTTTTCAAATCTACGTGTGTGTGTGTGTGTGTGTGTGTCTTATCTCACTCAGCCTTATAACCTGAATCACTCACTGCTCATTGAATTGAGAAAGCTCCTCGGATGAGGAGCGAAACGCCTTCTGTTACAAATAAAGTCCAGTTGTTTTTGTATTGAACGCTTTTTGAATTCATCATGTCCTGGATGACTGAGAATCTTCACCAGCATATTATAAAAACAAGAAAAGTGCTCATATTGTTAAACATCTTAAAATTTAAAAGTCACTTGAAACAATGATTTGATGGATACGAGACCTCATGAGCATAGAAAGTGACATTTAAGTTACATGTACCTGCTGAGGTGAGTGCTTCACGCATTTCTGCAACCGTCTCAGGGTTTTGTGGCAGTAGTCGCCCTTGGAAACACCTACAAGGTCTAATAATGTGTCACATTATGTGTAGTAAACTTGTCATATATTTATTTTGATGCCAATGTGCAGGGCAAATGTGCAGTGGACAAGAATTTGGCACAAAATCATTGGTAGTTTGTTGACAGTACAGGGAGTTTAGAGCAATGCTGAAAGGTGCACACCTGTGTGTGGGTAGGTCTTACTTGGTTCTTACCCTTACTATCAGTTCCAGGTAATATATATTATGTGATATAAGTATGATCCATTGTACTTATTTAAAAAGTTCTTTTATTTTTTGCTTCTGAACTCAACACAGTTGGATAATTTCTGCATCAAATGCTCATCTAAGAGTTCCCAAATGTAGTGAGCATACCATCCATCCATCATATCCTGATGCATGCTCAATAATCCAGGTAGAAAAATCTAAAAAAAGTTAAATCTGGTCCTCTGGACATTCAAAAACAAAAAAATGTAGAAATGTTTCATCTTTCATCCAAAAGACTTCCTCAGTCTGAGGTGCTGTTTTCAGCTCAGTCCTATAAATAGCACCTTCTCAGAGTGGATCAACCAGTTTTGCTGCTGACAACCAAAACAAGCTGCATAAATGATCAAGAAGGACCACAGCCTAACGATGGATCATTAGCACACTGATGGCTGTTTATTGTTCAAAGGAGGCTGAGTGATACTAGCAATAACAGCATTGTAATAGGGGGACAGTTGAACCCGGAGGCCTCCACCCCTGTTTAATGATGGACGATTTCTTTTAACAAAGATGGCCTCCTTTACTCCTCTCTCAAACCATCGTTCCTCTCTATCCTGATGTGAACATCTTCATCCCTGAACAAGTGACCGCTGGCCTGGAGATGAGTGTAGACTGCAGAATCCTGGCCTGATGTTGTTGCTCTTCTGTGCTGAGCCATCCTTTTGGCCAGTGGCTGTTTAGTTTCCCCGATGTAAGACTGATCACAGCCCTCCTGACACTGAACAGTATACACAATATTACTCTGTTTGTGCCGGGGGACTGGATCTTTGGGATGAACCAGTCTTTGCCGTAATGTATTTTGGGGTTTAAAAGCCACTGGAACGTTGTGTTTAGAAAATAAACATCTCAGTTTCTCTGATACTCCCACAACATACGTAATTACCACTGGTCTGGGTCTGGGTTCCTCCTTTTCACCTGATGGCTGACTGGAGTCCTGTTTGGGTTTCTTCTCTGCTTTCAGGAAGGCCCAGTTAGGATATCCACATTGCTCTAGAGCCTGTCTTGTGTGGGATTTCTCCTTCTGCCTGGCTCCTGAGTTAGTGGGGACGCTGTCTGCTCTATGTTACAGAGTCCTGATGTCTCCCTACTTGTGCTCCAAAGGGTGATGGGAGTCAAACTGCAAATACTGGTCTGTGTGGGTGGGTTTGCGGCATACCTCTGTTTGCAAATGTCCTCTATCACAAACTGAGACCTCACAGTCCAAGAAAGCCAACCTGCCATTTTTTACATCTTCTCATGTAAACTTGATGTATTTATCCACAGAGTTGATGTGGTCAGTAAAATGTTGGACTTCCTGGTATAATTCCTTACAATGCTGTTATTGCTAGTATCACTCAGCCTCCTGTGAATAGTAAACAGTCATCAGTGTGCTAATGATCCATCGTTAGACTGATGGTCCTTCTTGATCATGTGAGCAGCTGGTTTTGGTTGTCAGCAGCAAAACTGGTTTATCCACTCTGAGAAGGTGCTATTTATAAGACTGAGCTGAATACAGCACCTCAGACTGAATAAGTCTTTCAGATGAAAGACGAAACGTTTCTACGTTTTTTTTGTATTTTTTTTTTTTTTGTTTTGTTTTTTGAATGTCCAGAGGACCAGATTTAACTTTTTTAGATCCATCCATCATCTTTACTTGCTTTTTCCTTTTCGGGTCGTGGGGGTCACTGGTGCCCATGTCCATCCATCACTGTACGAGAGGCAGGGGATATCCTGGACAGGTCTCCAGTGCATCACAATGACACATAGAGACAAATGAGACAAACAACCATCCTCTCTCTCTCTCACCTAGAAACAATTTAGAGTTACCAATCAGTCTAACGTGCATATTTTTGGTCTGTGGGAGGAAACCGGAGTACTGGTGAAAACCCACGCAGCACAGAGGGAACATGTAAACTCCACCCAGAAAGGCCCCGGACCAGGATTTGAACAGGGCAACCTGCTTGCTGAGCGGCAACAGCTGTAACAATTGATCCACTGTGCTGCCCAGTGAGCCCTGACATAACCATCAACATCCCCACACACCAATTGTCACCTTAGACCTAACCCTAACTACTAACCCATCAAATGGGGTCCAACTGTATTTGGACCAGGATTTGGTCCCCCATAATGAGTCTGGGCAAAGTAGGTGATGATGCCAGAAAAAGGAGGTAACAAAAACCAAGTAGATACACAAATACTTGAGTCAGTGGAAACCACTGGCAGGTTTTACCAGTCTTGTTGGAAAAACAATAGGAGCAAAATTCAAAAAGCGTTCAATAATGTGGAGAATCTTCACCAGCAATAGGAGCTGAAGGTAAACTGTTTTTATTTGACAGATGTCCCACGAAGCTCATTTCACTGGAGAGAGCTATCTGGGGTCGACAGCAAAGATTTCACCGTTTGACAGCTTTGAGGGAGGCCTCAACTTCAGAACGCTTCAGCCCAGTGGGCTCTTGTTCTACCACAGCCAAGGGGTAAATACATCCGTCACACACATAAAAACTTACACAGCTACTAACACTTCAAATTGTAGCTCAGTAAAACTTTCTCAGTTGTGGCCATTTAAAATTTAAGGTTGCTTAGCTGCGGTGGCCATTTTAAATGTTCATACATCCATCCATCCATTATCTTTTACCTGCTTCTTCCATTTTGGGTCACGGGGGTTGCTGGTGCCCATGTCCAGCAATCAATGTGCGAGTGGCGTGGTACAACCTGGACAGGTCGCAAGTCCATCACAGGGCCACATAGAGACAAACAACCGTTCACTCTCACTCACACCTAGGGACAATTTAGAGTTACCAATCAGCCTAACATGCATGCTTTTTGTCTGTGGGAGGAAACCGGAGTACCCAGCGAAAACCCACGCATGCACGGAGTGAACATGCAAACTCCACCCAGAAAGGCTCCCGGACCGGGAGTTGAACCAGGGACCTGCTCGCTGAGAGGCAGCAGCTATACCAGTTGTGCCTACTGCCTGGCTGCTGCGTGCACAGATCTTTTTTATGTCATTTTAAATGTGTTGACTTCAAAGGTTATCAGTTTGCAGATGTGAATTAATTTATTCCTTTCTAAGAGTTTCAGTTAAACCCATTCATTGTGGCAGGATATATTTTGCTAACATTACAATGCACACACACATAGAGGCAGAACAAAATAGTCCTTTCAGCTTTGATGACAAGTGATGAAGATAACTTTCAGTTTGTCTCTTCAGTCGAACGAGTTCAGCATCTCCCTGGAGAATGGAGCAGTGGTGCTGAACAACAGAGGAACTAAAGTCAAATCACACAAGAAACAATACAGTGATGGAAGGGCACACTTCTTGCTGGTCTCAATGAACAATCACAGGTAGGTGTTTAAACTTCTGGCAGCTGTTTTTAGAGCACATCTGTGTTAGGTTTCTGTCTGGACTCGTCTGCATCCTGCTTTCTGTCCTTTGTGTCTGTTCACAGCAACAAAGGCTGAGCATCCGACTGTATGATCCAGATCTGAGACAAACAGGTCTTTCTGAAATGTCCGTGTGCAAACACAGTGGCTGCTGTGTGCACAGATCTTTTTAATAAGTCTGGTCTTTGCAAAATTATTTGACTTCAAGGCAAAAACAAAGTGAATCAATGTGTGTTAGGAAATCATCATTTATTTTCTTTATTTAATCACCCACCATGTTTGGTGCTAGTGTAATAAACTAAATTAATCTTATATTAAGAAATGACAGAGTTCTAGCCACATTGTGGCATTTCACATAATCCATCACAATCTTCTAACTGAATCTGTGATGACTCTAGGCCTGTCACGATAACAAATTTTGCTGGGTAATTAATTGTCTCAGAAATTATTGCGATAAACAATAATATTGTTTGAAATTTGACATTAATTAGTAATTGTCAAATTTAAGAAGAAATGTTGGTTCATTTTTGTGTGTAGTATCTTTTTTGACCACCGGATGGCAGTACAAGACTGTTTGAACCAAAGGATTTATAGTGAGGGAGCAAGCAGCATGCCTCTTTAAGGAAAATGGGAGGGAGGCCCCTTGTCATGACATGGGCTGTCTCTCTTCGGTTCTCAAAATGGCAGACGCTCTGTGTGGTTTGAGCTCTTTAGCATAGCATTGTTCACACAAAGCTTTTAATAAAAAATCAATAAGCAAGTTCTCAGCTTCTTTTTGCAGAGAAAAACAATTTTTTACACGAAGGCACGGGTTTCAACCGTGAATTTTGGAGCTTCGACAAGACGGAGGGTTTTTTCCCGAGGTTGACCTGTTAGCTTAGCTCATAGCTTAGCTTCTCAGCTTAGCTGCTTTTTATGATCAAAAAATGTGATTTTGAATGATTAAAATGGATTTTAAAGAGAAACGAGAGAGAAAGGGAGGGGTCAGTGAAGAGCACTGGAGTTAAGCCTTGTCATCCAGTGTCTTCAGTAAAAAGAGGGAGACGTGAAGAAATGATAAAGACGATAAAGGAAAATGAGGTTGATAATTGTCATTTATCATGCAATTAATTGAGTCCATCATGTGGTTCAGGAGATATTTTGCTAAAAGACAATAATTGTTAAGTCTAAAAGTTATTGCCAGGGTTTGTAAGTAAACACTGAAAGTATCTGTTGTGGACCATGTTCAGTTACTTCAACACCAGATTTTAGCTCATTATCTGTAAAACCTGTAATTATTTAAATTACAAAAAAGAAAGAAAGAAAGTGTTGTGTTGTCATCAGTGTATGTTCCCAGTTCTCTACATTGAACCCATCACACCTGAGATACCCAGGTGGAGAGTGGGCATTTATGTCAGCACCCGAGGAGCAGTTAGGGGTTGGTGTCTTGCTCAAAGACCCCACAGAGCTCACAGGACCTGGTATTACCAGGCGGCCTCCCATCCAAGTACGAATCAGGCCTGACCCTGCTTAGCCTCTGAGATCAGACGAGATCAGAGTCAGAGTCAGTCAGTCAGAGATTCTTTATTGTCATTCGTACCTCATGTGGTACATGTGGTGGAGCTAAATTATGTACACAGGGTCCCAGTTACATCCAACAATAAAATGTAAAAGAAAAACAATGATAACACTGAGAAAAACATCAACTAAATATACACTAAGCACTAACAGCATAAAAAACATTACGTTGAACATCAGCACAAACATGAACATGAGTCTGTTTAAGCAGATGAGGTGTAAATGTCTGTGATGTTGGGGAGACTGACTCTATCAGTCTTCTGTGCAGCCTTCACCACTCTCTGCAAAGCTTTTCTTTCTGCAGCTGTGCAGCCTCGGTGCCACATGTTGATACTGGAGCACAGGATGCTCTCCACTGCACACCTGTAGAAGGAGGTGAGGACTGAGCTTCCCAGACCAGCTCGTCTCAGCCATCTGAGGAAGTAGAGTCTCTGATTAGCTTTCTTGATCAAGCTGGTAGTGCTGTTGCTCCAGCTGAGGTTGTCATTCATGTGTACACCCAAGTACTTGTAGCTGGAGACCACTTCCACCGCAGATCCTCTTATGTTCAGGGGGGTGTAGGTGTGTTTGCTCCTTCTGAAGTCCACAATCATCTCCTTTGTCTTCTTCACATTGATGTGAAGGTTATTCTCTTTGCACCAGCTCTCCAGGTGTTCCACCTCTTGCCTGTAGCTGGACTCATCATTGTTTATGATGCATCCCACCACCGCTGTATCATCTTCGAACTTTACAACATGACAGCCTGGATGGGTAGCTGCACAATCATACGTGAGCAGAGTAAACAGGAGGGGGCTCAACACACATCCCTGAGGAGAGCCACTGCTGAGGGTTATGGTGGAGGAGGAGAAGTTGTGGATCCTCACTAACTGTGGTCTGTTTGTTAAGAAGTCTAGTACCCAGTTGCAAATGGAGGGGCTTAGTCCTAGTGTGAATAGTTTGTCCATCAGGGTTTGGGGGATCATGGTGTTGAAGGCAGATGTGAAGTCCACAAAGAGCATACGGACGTAAGAGTTTTTCTGCTCCAGTTGGTTGAGCGCAGTGTGGACCACAGAGGAGATGGCAACCTCTGTTGATCGGTTCTCACAGTATGCATACTGTAGTATGACATATGTAGAGATATATTCATACATTAAATGGGTTCTTCATTTTTCTGGACTGTGTAACATGCGTGCGTTGAATGTAATGAAAATGTAACGTGAGACGTTATTTATCTTTGACCCATCAAAATGAATGTGGCCATTTATTTACAGAATCAAAGTTTAACATCAAACATTTACATTAATTTGGCAGAATATGAAAACAACAACATAATTAATCAGCTTTACAAACAGGAAAACCATACGACCATGATTTTCCGTTGCTTCACCACAGACATTAATGAAAACATCTGGATTAATTTTCTAGCAGAAAGGAGAGTTTAAAGATGGAAAATTGAGATTTATCTTACAGAGAGATGTGTGAGGGAATTTGTCTGTTTTAACCAGAACGTGCACGCTCCTTCGGAAATCAGCTTGTCCCAACAGTACACTTTTGGTGAAGGTCGACTTTTACCTTTTCTGAAGATAGATCAGTTCCGGCGTGGAGTCTCACTTCCAACCACTGTTCAGCGTCTCAGTGAGAACAGCTAAATACCTAGAGAGTCGTGTGAGGTTATCCAAACAGAAGTTATAATTCCCAAAATCGTCTCTGGTTCAGCTTGATTGGTTTAGCAGCATCCTGAATGCCTGCGTTTGCATTCTGGAACTCCCAAACTCTCTGCATTCTGGATTCCAAAAACTCTGAACTTCCCAACTCTGAACTCCAAAACTCTGAACTCCGAAGTGCCACATTTAAATGGGCTCTACTTCCGGTTCGTTTGAGAGCCTCTGATTGGTCGATGGACCCCAACAGAGGTGTGTTTTGTGATGTAAGGTGTTATGGAAAGTCAAGGATTGTTTAAGAACAGACAGAAAGATATCATGGAAAAACCAGACTTCGTGGCGTCGCTCCACCAAGTATCTTGCTGTAAAAGTTAAACATGACATTTCTTTTTCAGTAAACTTTTAGTTGACCGAAACCTGAACTTTGACACACACTTACAAATTTGCTCCCTTCAAAGCAGACGATCAAGAAATTGAATCATTACTCTCTAACGTACTCTAACTTGATTTCACTTTGAATTGAGGACTAAAAATCATTACTACTGTTTAAGTAAATAAAAATGAGTAATTCACTTCAACATGTAAACATTGTTTGAACTAACACAATTTGATTATCAAAACATTTGTAAAATAGTAATGATCATAGAGAATTGTCTTTTTCCACTTGATTAATTCAAGAAAGAAAGTCTCAGGATGGGTCAAACTGCATTTCTGGATTCAAATCAATGAAATGACAGTTTCTGTCCATCTGGTCAGTTTTGACATCAGGCCTAGTCCACTACAGTCCCCCCTTTGGAAATCATCGCCTGTCCATGGGGATGAATTCCAAACTTGAACTTACGCCTTCGAATGTCCTTGAGCTTGATGTAATCCAGCAAGGAAAACCAGAGTCAAGAGTAATCCAGCAAGGAAACAAAAGTCAAAAGTAATCCAGCAAGGAAAACAAAGTCAAGGTAATTCCACAATGTTCTTGGTAATTCCATTGTGTTGATGATAATTCCATAATGTTGTTGGTAATTCCATTGTAGCAATGCTTTAACCCCTTGGAAACAGGGTCTGTAATCCATTGGAAAAAGTCATATAATCCACAACGGTAAATCCACAACGATTGGAAGTGTTGATTAATCAGCATACAGAGG